GGAATATGAAAGTGAATGAAAAGAGCCCGGGGGTGCCTGGTAAGTCTTGAAGTTTGATGTAAACTGTCTTTCACTAGAGTGTCATTGTAGTAAAGTAGTAAATTATGACATTACCACCTGACATTGCACATCTACTCTAAAGGGAGAATGACACAAACCTAGAACTGTATAACAGGAGTCTTCAATGTGAGAAATGGTGTTTATGAGAGCATGCTAGGAGGCAACCGGATGTTAGAACAGTCCTGCGCATTGTGTGCTGGTAGAAAAGATGGGAAGTCATGTTCTTGAGTTTCCAACTTAGTTCAGTCTCTGTACTTAATTCTTGGTACCCTTGGTTTACAGACTTACTCAACTACAGTAAGTGGACTACGGATTTCTCATTTTACCAGAGGAAGTGGTGTTTGGAGAAACAGTGAATTCTGTTAACTTACAATCAAGATTCACATTATATTGCAGTGAAACAGGGATTTGGGGGGGGCTGGAATTTCACTTAGTGGTGGAGAGGTTATTTATGAAGTACAAGCTTCTGAAGTTTTGAGCAAAGGAAACTTAGTTGTGCTGGCTTTCTGGACTTGTTTGGATAGGATGCAAGAAGCAACACTGAAAATCTGATATTGTATGAGATATCTTAAAACTAATTTATCCCTAGCTCTAATATCATTTCAATAATATTTATATCTTAGGGAGTCTATGTTGAGCAACTTCTTTCAGAAAAGAGCCTAGGTTTTTTTTCCACAAGTCAATGGACTTCGCAGATTTTTTTCTCCAAATGGACCTCCAGTTTGTCCTTGATTTTTCCGATTGCCTTTCCCATCTTCTCTCTGCAACTGTGCTTTCCATGATGGGAAAGTTCCCTCTACTTGAACTAAGCTAAAAAGTTTATCAGGTGTAAGGTGTGTGGAATAGCTCTTGCTGAAGAGAATTAGATACTAGAAGTTGTGCAGAATTTATCACAGAATGACAACAGACACTGCCAGAGAAAGGCCACATTTAGGGGCCTGCCAGTTTCTTGCTTTTGAGAATTTTCCCTAGCTGTATTGTTTCTTTCAAACCTTGTCTCCATTTATTTTCCATGCTTCTACTGTTGTGAATCCCCCCATATATATATACATATATATATATATATGTATCCCCATATATACATATATATGTATATACATATATATACATATATATATATGTATATATATGGGTCCACAGAATAATAAAGTGTATCAGCTATTGACCAAAGGGTACACATGTGAACGGCTATCATTTTCAGATTTCCTAGGCTTCCAAATTCTTTATGAATATTTATTGCCTTTATTGCAAGGAGAAGAGAAAAAAACATTATTTTTAGTTTAAAGAGAAGTCAGGTAAAAGTGTTAATGTTCCATGGGACCTAAGCCAGGAATCATCTCTTACTTTGCTGTTCACTGCCTGCTCTTCCTTCTTCAAAGCATACCACATTTCAATCTTCTTTCTTTTAATGTTTGAAGAGAATAATCTGGCAGGAGGCCTGATAAAAGATTTAATAATGGACTTTCATATGTGAAACCTGACACAGTCCTGGAACAGAATCATGACTGTGTAGCTAGTAATTGCTCCCTACTTCAGGGAAGGAGAGACTTCCACACTCTGAGAGATGAAGAGCTGCACAATCATAAAACTTGTTTCAATAACTGATTAGTGTTTAGAACTGTGGGATCTTTCTGTCTTCTTTTGAAACTAACTCTTGTGTGGGTACATGACTCCTGGTTCTGTGATCACTACAAGATCCCTTCCTTCTTTCCTTCATTCCTTCGTTCCTTCGTTCCTTCCTTCTGTCCTTCCTTCCTTGCTCCCTCCCTCCCTTTTCTTCCTCTTCTCCCTCCCTTCCTATCTCTCTCCTTCCCTTTCTTAGATTTGATAAACATACTCCATGATTTTGACCATCCCCCTTGGGCTTTAAGCCAGTTCAAACTATCTCTGTACTTGGACCAGAATGACCCGGAGGAAGTCACTGAGACCCCTTTGTAGCAGCTGACATAGCCCTTGTTGATGTTTGCTGTGCACTCTTGTTCCCAGCAAGCACTTGTTGTATGACTTTCTTCTCTCTTTGTAGACTTCTCCTTCTCCTCTTTTACTGAGGTTTTGCTTAATTGCCTCATCTCAGGACTGCAAAGGCAATATCAGTAAATTGGAAAGATCCTAGAAGAGGCAAAGAACGTAAAATTAACCTTTGGCACAATTATCAATTGACTGGTAAAAACCAACACTCCATACTCTCAATATGCTCATCTTTAAAATAATTTCATAGTTATTACAAAATGGTCACACACATTGGTAACCATAGAACAAAGCAGGCAGCATTTCTTGTCATTTAGTCAGTTTTCCTGAAAGATTTTGACATGAAATTGAACTGTCAATTTTTCCTACTTTGGAATAACTTTGATAGATGACCCTTCACTAGAGCTGTTATAAGAAACAGTCTTGAATCTTGTTTTTTCTCACTGTTGCCTCTACTATCCTACTCAGTATCCATAAGGAACAGATTGTTATTGAGCCATTTATTACTCTTTGAGTTTGGAGATGGGGTACTAAAAAGACTGAAGAAAATATTGAGAATGATTGTACTGGGATCTGGCAGTAAAAGGATTTGCCTTCTTTTTTTTTCTTTTTAAGATTAAATGTAATAAGAAGTACCATTGATTTTTTTGTGTGTGAAGGAATAAAAAACTTAATTATTAGGAAGAGAAGAGAAATAGAGCTGCACACATCTTTCAGCCAGTAAATTATCTCCCTGCAGGGAAAGCCACATGGAGAGTCTTAGCCTGGTTAGAAAGGATCACAGGGAGAAGCACATTATTTCTTAATGCACTAGCTGAGTCATTAGTTAATTTTTGTCAGAAGTCATTACAAGGAACTATCTTCTTTATGAGATGAGGCAGGTTTTATACCATGCTTTTCGTTGTTTGCCTTCTCCTAATCATGCTGAAAAGGTCTTGAAACATTTTCATCTTCAAATACAGATTTCAATATGTGGACTATTTACAGTACAGTAGTATAAAGCATTTCTTTTTGTCTTGTATCTTTTTAAATTTTAGTTTATTCACTGATAGCAGTGATTTTTTGTTTCAAACTGTGTTTAAAGTAGTTTTAGGTTTGTTCCATGACATCAAACTCAAAACTAAGGATTAAGTTTCCCTATTGTAATTGATGTACATTCACAGGGCTGCTTATTTCTAAGGCAACTGATGTAAAAATAAATACTATGATTCAAGGTGCCTGCAATTGTGAAATCTGGGAGACTTTTGTAGTGTCCACAATTATTGTTCTTCTTGCTACATTTCAAACCATTAGCTTCCTAATCCAGTACAATGTGCAACAACAGAGAAATGAACATGCATTGGTTCAGTTTTCCAATGACTCAGTTTGATTCTAGTCAGAGGGTCAGTAGCACAGGATTGATTATGAGACCAGAAACAAGTCTTAGAGATCATTTAAAAATCTTCCATCTCTTCTCATCCTCACTTGTCATCTGCATCTTGCTTTTAGAGAAGGATGCTTGGGCACAGTGGACTGAGGAATGAAGACTTTTCAGGAGTGCATGTTACTGTAAACCCCACTATTGTTATTGTTCCACACTGATGGTCCATGTCGACATAGGTCTTCATCTGGTAAGGATTTCTTTCCCCAAATCTTAATTTTCCTGTCCTACAGGCATTTGTAAGAAAAAATGAATGTAAGAAGGTCATTTGACCACCAAAAGGAGGTTTTCTACTTTTCTTTTTTCTTTTTTTTTTAATTTTATAAAAGTAGATCCAATTTTATTAAGGATTTCAAATTACACATTTCAAACTTCTGGAATGGGGTAGAACCATTTGGGGAGCAACCAAATGTTATCATGAACACTGATCCCCAGTGTCCATCCACAAAGCACATCCATTATACAAGAGCCACCAGCTACCCGATCACTTTGGCAACAGCTACTTCCTAAGGAAGGGAGGGAGGGAAGGAGGGAAAGACTGTGCTAGCTCCTTGAGAAGGTGGGGTTCTTCTACCTTTAGGTTACAAACTTCAATGGTCAAGAAAATAAGCTGTGTTTAGATGAACTATGATTAGCACAAACCATCTAATAAAAAGCAACCAACTATTTTCAAAATAAAGGAAATATAACAGGTTAAGGACTTCCAGTAGTTAAAAAGGTGTTCATACCCTAAGACTGCAATACTAAAATTTCACAAAAAGAACTATTATCTCTCCACTAAAGAAAAAAAAAAACTTCAATGTAAAACAAATTTTATTAACAGCAGGAATGATATTGTCCTCCAAGTACAATCCAATTAATATACCCTGTGAAAACAAGTTCCTTCCCCAAAATGAACAGTAATTAGCCTGAGGTATTTTAAACATGGCTCTCGGCATCTAAAACTTAAGTCACCTCCCCTCCTCTTCTATGGCCTCTTTATCACTTTGGGATTCATTAAACTGTGGTCACTTGAAACACCTGAAAAAGGGGAGGGTGGGGGGAGGAGACTTAAAAAAAGGCAGTCTTTAAATTGTACAATAATTTCAAGATCTACTTTAATTCTCCAGTTTAATTAGCCAAATTTAGTGTGAATATAATGCTGAACATCACACTTGTGGTACAGAGACCAGATTTCTTTTTTGAGATTTAGTTAAGACTGGGAAAGTTTGTGAGATTTACCCCAATATGTCTTAATATATCTGTGAAGTAGTTAAATCAACAGTGGTACCCCTTCCTAATCGCCCACAGTAAACAGGAGCATGGCCGAAGGTCACACTACCCATTCTTGAGCACTAAGTGTCAGAAATAAACAGATGCCAAATATACTTATTTCTATCAAATAGAACTTAACCTGTTTTAAAAAAAAAAGTACCACACATCACCTGTTAGTCCTTTTAAAAAGCCCATGCCTATTACCTCTTCCAAAGTTGTTCACTATGGAAAGCTATCCCTGAACTCAAGCTAACCCTCCACAATAGTCTCAACCAGTACAAACTGAAACATCACCCTGTGAGGGCTAAAACTGTTGACATTTTTATTTTAGGCTATAAAACAAAATTAGGCAAACAAGAGAAAAACTCAAAATAAGTTCAAATGATGTAATTCCATCCTTTCCAGGAAAGCAGAAGGTAGGCCCTACCACAAAGAAAACATTTGATTAATGGTGGTTAATTTTCAAAGTACATTTAAATACTATCAGATTAACTTCTTTTAAAAAAAAACCCACGGGATTTGTTCATCTTGCTATGATAACTAATAACTATGAGTTGACTTCTGTTATAATTATATCATCTGAAATAGAAAACTCCCTTAATCTCAGTTACTAGGTTTGATCTTACTGGAAATTCTTAACCACAATTTTCCTTTCTCCAACGTGTCAGCCCTGCATCCCCTAGCATAATGGAAGTTTCAGCTGAAACAGGCCGACTTCAACCATCTGAAAACAATTTTGGTTCTTGAGGAAAGAAACAGCTATATAGCAAACAAGGGGCTCAACAGTTGAATTTCCATACTTGTGTATTCCAATAGGTACATGACAAAAACATTCTGGAAGACCAAACTGTAGAATTAGTGACATGCACTAGAGAGATTCCTGCATTCAACAGATCTGAGAGAACTATAGTAAGGATGCTAGGCAGAACAGCTTGGTCTTTCCAATAGAAATTTCTTTCCTTTAAAGACTTACTGATTCTACCAAGGAAACACAAAACATAAGGCTGTGAGTAAATGACAGTTGCATTTAGGCTATTACAGGGTAGGCCGTCCTCAAGGCCAGACAGCTGCTTCACTGCTTTTTGCACTCTGCTGGGTTCTGATCCTTCTTGGGGTCATAGTCAGGGTCATTTTCCTCATCTCCTTCTTCTTCCCCTTCCTCATCAGCTTCTTCTCCTTCTTCATCATAATCATCATCATCATCCTCAATAGCCTCTCCTGTAAAGTATAACACTGATCTTGGGATTATCCGCTCCCGTAAAAAGTGACCAATTTCAAAGTCTGCAGCCAGTATGGCTTCGGAATCATCATCCAGATCTCCATTCTCAGGAACTTCAGGAGGGACAAAAAAATTAAAGAAAGAATCATTGGAAACTGTTTTAGTCACAGTACGAACTGTCCCACCCCCCTTGTGTTTCTGCTTCTTTTTAATGGTTTTCAAAGTAACATTCTTTCCTTTTTTCCAATCTATCTGGCACCCTGTAAAACCCATAATTTCTGGTCCATCAAAAGAAAAGGGATCAGAATCATCTGGTTCTGACCTCATCCTGTACGTCTTTGTTAACACTTCACTAGTGAAATATTCATTGGGTTCAAAGTGAAATTCTAAGATAAAACTCATAGGCTGGCCAGCATCTGAGAACTTCACTTTAATATCTTTCAAGTGCTTCAGAATAGGTTCATCATGTTCCTGAACCACATCACTGAGCAAGTCAACATTCTTAAAAACTGTCAACCAAAATTCAGGAATCCCTTTAGGGTCTTCTTTTTCTTCATCCTTTTTCTCGTCTTCAACCTTGGCCTTTTCTTTTAGTTCCTCGGAAATTTCTTCCTCCTCATCTGGTTTCCACTCACATTCTTCTTCTGTAGGTTCATAAATTGCATTAATGATCTCAAATCACTTATCAAATAAAGGCTGATAGAGAACAGCATACTTCCTTTCAAGATCATGAACTTCCTCGTAGAACTTGGCTTCTATCTGTGCACATTTAACTTGAAGATTTTTGAGGGCATTCACCGTCTTTTGACTACTTTAGGAAGGCTTTCAATGAATCCTGTTGGTGTGTCTACCAGACCATCCAGTCTTTCCTGAAGGGCTGCAAGGATCTGAGGGTTTTGCATCATCTGAACAGTCAGCTGACGCGCTTTGATTTTTGTTTCTTCATCCATTTCTTCTTCTTCTACTTCTTCAGCGTCATCCAAGTCTTGATCAAGTTCAGACTGTTCTTTGTTGTCAATGTCTGCCATCTTGTAAGAGCTCCAAATATCGTTCCAGGAGGCTCGGGCGCAGAGCCGGGCGGCCGGAGCTGTGCAGGCAGTGACTCAGGGCGAGGGCGGCCGGTTTTCTACTTTTCTACATGTGCTTAGATAGTAAAAATAAGTTTTCATCGATGTTTTTCCTGCAGGCCATTAATAGTGATGAAAATTGCTTCTGTTAATCTAATCTTGTTCCAGTATTTTTGAATGTTCTGAACACTGATGCCTGTAAAAGTTTAGAGTTCTCTTAAATGTGATTTCTTCCATGATCTGGTGCCCTAAAGGCTGCACATGGCTACGGAGATATTTTCAGAAAGTTATCTCTGACTAAATTGTATGTTGGGGCCTCAGGGATGTGAACTCTGAAAGGTGTAAGAAATCCAGAGAATAACAGAAAATTGAATGTCGTTGTCAGACTCATACCTGGAAGTTGTGAAACTTGAATCATTCACTATTTTTCATTCCTTAGTGTTGATTGGCTATGTATCCTGGGCAAATTCAGTCAACACATAGATATAATCCACTTTCCCTCCACATAGGTTAGTGGGTAAGGAGAAAACTATACTGATTGACAAGTAGGCATGATGGGAATTTTAGTGTCCTCTGGAAATACTGAAAGGGGGTATGAAATTTGGGAGTAGAATAATTTCATTCTGAAATCTGTAAGATGAATAGGTATTGGGAGAGACAGATCATTAAGGAGGTGTACATTATGTACACAGATTCTGCATATGAAGCAGCCCTGTGATAGCAGGAAGGGATTGAAAGGATTCCAATTTTACAAGCTGGGTATGTTGTCAAGTCCTAAAGGAAGGTAGCATAGGATAAACAGTGAGTGTTTTGAACTAGGTCATCATCTCAGACTTATATGCTACAGCACAATTACAGTACTATTGGAAATATAAAGATACTTTCAGAATCACCAGTACAATCCCTAACAACATTCCAAACATCTGACCTTATACCCACAGAGAAATGTAGTCCTGACCCCTTATCAAGGAATCTTCTCTTTGAAAAAGATGAAGACCATTACAGAAAACCACAACTAACCAAAATGCAGAGTTGTAGAGTACAGTCCCAAGGAATACATCTACAATTCTATGGTGCGGGAGGCTCAGGGAATATTTTGAAAGAGTAGAAAGATTGTAAGATCCAGAGTATCAGAGAATTTGCTGTGAGATTGTGTCTCCTCATAATGTCAGAAGCTACATACTCATGAAGTCTCACCAACATGACTGTCTGTACAGGAACTGAACATAGATGATAGCAATAGACTTGCCAAAGTATTTGGGGGAAAGTCCATGAGGCCTCAACCACACACAAAGAAGTATAAGCAAACTAAAGAATGCTGAACATACAATAAAGAAACTGTCTTCTCCGGGAAGCACACACCAATTGGTTATTCAATACCAAATGATCAGTCCTGAAAACATACATACAAATGACATTATACAGATTGAGTTGGTTGCATGTATATACATAACAACAATAATGGAAAAATAGGCTACAAAATTGAAAGAGTACAGAAGAGGTGTGTAGAAGATCTTGGAGGGAAGAAATAGACACAATGTAATTATAGCTCAAAAAATAAAAAGTAAAAAATCACCAGATTTTACCAGATAATAAAATTTCCTATGCACAGAACAGAAAAGCATAAACAAAATGATATAAACAATATTTGGAGAAACAAAGGTATAATAGTAGCAAGGTATTGCTCATAGAGAAAGAAATCAGGGCAACTCATCACTACAGAAAAATGTCTTATAGTGAAAAGGAGTTGTAACAGCCTGTCTTAGTGAGGACTGTGCTCACCAGTGAAAGGAAAATAATATAACATGTGGTATGGTTTTCCTTTAGAGTCCTAAAGATGCTACTAATATTCACCTTGTCCTTGGTATGTGAGTTGGATTCTTTATTATTCACTAAGGATTTTGTCTGCTGTTTTGTATGTAACAGAGGGAACATCTCTTTCAATGAATCATCAGAGGTCCCTTTGCTCATGCAGCATAACCTGATAGGGCAGTGTTTATTAAATATTATTAGCATGAGAATTATTTAGTGTCCTTGTTAAGGATACAAATTGCTGAACCCTATAACATTTCTACTAAATGTAAGTAGCTGATGTCCTAGAGTTTTCTACTCAGTAAGTTTCTGAATGATCCTTGGGACTACATATTTTTAGAAATGTTTATTGGGATTGCAGTGTGTGTATTTATTTGTGAATACATGGCTAGGAGAGAAAAATGACCATGGTAGCAAGAGTGCTTTGGGTTATCATGGAGTATTTCTTGTTAATTGGTGAGGAAGGCATCGTTTGTAAGGTACTCTGGTGCTTGACTTTACCTGTCTGCAATGCCACAAGGATAGGCCATATTATAATCTTGTTTTCTTAATTAACTCATGGTTTTATTGAACTTCACATAAAACATATTATCAAAATTTATTAATGATGGGAGAAGGATTGTTGATTTACATGTTGGTGTAAGTTCATTATCACATGGATAGCATGGATATCACATGTTTAGCATTGGACAGTGGTAAAATAGAAATGTAGTATTTTCAGAGTCTTCAGAAAATGGCTCAGAATGGTGTAAAGAGATTTCAGAATCAAAGTTAATCTAACTACCTATGAAGTATAATGGTGGGTCTTCTTATCAATTGTAATTTAGTTCCTATAATTATGTAAATTATAGTTACAGAGTAAGTTATGGATAGTTTAATATATTTGTTTTGCCTTTTCAGTGACCAGAGCTAGGACCCTGTGTATGTAGATGAGTGTTCTTCCTTGAATTGCACCCCAGCCATGCTATGTTGTTAGCCAGTCTCCAAAACTCAAAATACTTAATATCTCCGGGAGATGAGGATGGGCCATAATTCTGTCTCCCTTGAGGCAATGGCTACATCAGAGGTGGATGCTATGCTCTGATTGGGGATTGCTGAAGCTGTGGCTTTATAATAATTTATATGTAAAAATGGAACCTTTCCTCAGAAGTGTGCCCATACTGTTTTGGAAGTAGATGGTGTGGAGGATAGGGTATTTGTGTCAAGTGTGGCATAGCTGATGATTAGAGGCCCCAGGATATGAATGCAATGAGTATTGAAACTTCCATAGCATGAGAGAAGATGCAGTTGGTGAAGAGACTGGACATAGGTCATACAACAGATTGCCTAAGACTCTTCATATCTTTTCACAGAGGACAACAATCACTATGCATTGGGATATATATGCATGTGCATGTACACACAGACACACACACAGACACACAAATGCACACACACACACTTCTGAGAAATTTCATACTCAGTACTTGATTTAATCCTTCCAAAAAGCCTGAAATTTTATTCTACTCTCTATTTTACTGATGAGGAAAATGCAACTCAAAATGTATCCAGGGATATATGGCTGACTGTGACTGGTTCCCAATCTGCCTCATTGGGAACCCCTAACTTCTAGCCATTTGGTCACACCCCAGATCCAGATACACATGTCATTATTTTCCATCAGGGCTTTCTGTCTAAAGAGCAACCATGGCACTTCCTTGAAGCTGCTCTGAAATCATAGCAGGAGGAACATGGGGCAGGTTACAGGGTGCCTTTACCAAGGATTGGATTATATTCCTTGGAGATCAGATATATCATGTTTTTAAGCACCACATTTTCGGGTGCTTCAGGACATCTTACATCAAGTTATGCTTATGTGTATACAGTTTTAGGGACTTGATGAATTTATTAGTGGGTTACTTGGTATTAAATTAGAGTTTTTTTTTTAGCTTGTTGGAAATAGAAAAAATAATAGTTAAATGTCAAATTTATAATCGTATTTAAATTCCTTTCCTGGAGGGTTCTTTCTCTTTTTAGAAGAGAGACAGGGCTGACATTAAATGTCATATACCCATAGGCAGCTACATAGTTCAGGTGAAGAAAGGCAGAGGAATGGATGTGGCATTCATTAGTTATTGTCCCCAGGTAAAGCATTATATTTTAGAAGGCTGTTGTTAAAAGTTGACAGATGCCTCTGTCCTGCAAGCTATTAACTCAAAACATTAATCACTGGTCTCAGTCTCCAAACTTGTAAACAACTGTGTAGAAATATAAGTTTAAATCTTAATTAGATGACTTGATTAGGAGTTCTGGTCAGAGAATGTGCACTGTTTGTAAGGTGTTTTTCTCACAGGGAGATAGAACATATGAAATTTTAAGCTTCAAGCTCATCTTTTGGATATTGTTTTATGACTACAGCTGATTTTTCACACGACAATATTTCAAAGCCAAATTTGGAAACTATACTAATGAAAAATTTAGATGAAGTGCTTTAAATGCTTTTTTTTTTTTTTTGTTTTTACTTTTGAGAATTTCAGATATGGTTACACCATAATTACCTTGTTTGCACTCCTCCCATACTACTTTGTAATTTATTTCATGTACCTCACCATGTACTCCTAAGGAATCAATTTGTTGTTTATCCTTCATGCCACAGAATGTTATATGTGATACACAGAACTTCATACCCATAACTTATGGTATGTAATTTTGAGTGTTTCCATTTGTGTAGTATATAAAGATTATATGATCTGCAAGACTAGATTTTGCTTCTATTATTTTTTGAGTTGTTCTAGAGGTCAGTGAAAGAGTGTTGGCCAAAGTCTTTATGCCAATGTCTCAACCTCCTATACATAACGTCAAAGTTGACCTCATGTTGTGGCCTCACATCAAGAGCTCCCACTCTGTGGAAAGCTCCAGACCTCCAGATACTAGGTATCTTACAGAAATATTTAGCCTTCTCTGGCAAGTTATAAATGAGGTGTTATCTTGTAGGCTATCTCATACCTGTAATTTTGTAACAATTTGAATTTTAGAATGCAGGGGAAAAAACACAATAAATGCATTAAGTATAGGAATCACTTGACATTCTGAGAATAAGATGAAGGAAAAGGAAGAAAAAGCTGTAGGGAAGGTAAATATGAACAGGGCAGGACCTTAGACCTGCTTAGGGGCCAGCAAGCAGATAAAGAAGACAGTGAGATTTGACCTTGTCATGTGGAAGGATGAAGGATTGACAATGTGTACCCAAGTGAA